ATAATTGCAAAGATGCAACATATTGCCCCATCGCTTTCCCCTTTTAACAAGTCTTCTCCTCATAATTTAAATCTTAAAGTTTGCTTTATTTTAAAAAATCACGGAAATAAATTGTTAATGATGTTTTTAAGGCAGTAATCTCTGATAGTGTCGACCTTATATAAATGTTTAAAAATATTAAGATAAGCTATAAAATTAAGAAAAAAAAATAATTTTAAGAAGAAGTAATTAACAATAATTTATTTTAATAATTAGTCTTTGAAATAATATTTTTAAAATATGTATAATTGTCTTATTGAATATATATATATATATATATATATAATTCATTAGTCTTCAAGGATATTTTTCTGATTAATTGTTTAACATTAATGTTATGCTTATAAAACACTTGGAAGTGTCGTCAATGCAAAGATTAAGTAATTTCAAAGAGTAGTTAATTCAAAGAATAATTATACTGCACTTGATGGATCAAGTTTACTGAAATTAAGTGAAATGATCTTGTTAATCAACTGAATTAATGATATATAATCAAACTGGATTTCACTTGATGAGCACAAATAAGTATTAAATATCATAACTTAATTGGATGCTTGTGGTTTGTTATAGCTAAGGAAAGGTGAGTGCCATCTAATGGTCAAATCTATTTTCTTTTCAGTCAATTCAAACTTATCATTTTGTTTCCTGTGTGATCATGGATAAACATCAAGTCCTCTAAAGTTAGATAACCTAATTTTGATCCCTCCTATTCATGATATGAATTCAGAATAGTTCCCAAGTTTTCGTTTATCGTGATGCTATATATGTTATCCTTATTAATTGGTGGGACAATTGTTATTTTTAATTTTATTGTAGTTTTACCATATCATCCTACCCAAGTTTAAAAATAAAAGCAATTCCATTTAAATCAATAAATAAAATTAAAAAAATACATAACTTTAAATTCTTGCACTTTGCTCACATTTTATTATAAGTCCCTACACTTTTTTGAATATTATAAGTCTCTATACTTTCATTATTTGATGTTCTAAGTTCCTAAATGAGCAAAGTGTAGGGATCTTAAAGGGATCTAACACACTCAAAAAATAAAAGCGTAAAGATTTAAAACACAAAAAAAAAATACAAGAGCCTAAAGTTATATGTTTTTTCATAAAATTATTTTAATTTTATTTAGATAGATGATATATATACATATATCAAAATAGATAATGAAATTATTTTCAAGTAAATTGAATTGAAAACTCTTCATAAAGGATCCTATAATATATTTACCTAATTAACAGCTAGGCTAGGCTAGGCAGGTGCACTAATATTGAATTCAAGCTATTTTTTCCATAGTACTTTTTTTACAAATGAATTTTTCATATGTTAAAATTTAAATCAAAAATAAATCAATTTAAGTTATCAAAACTACAAAGTGAAAAACAGTGAAGTAAAAATAAGCCAGATTAGGAGAAAAATTAACACTGGTGTCTAACTTTTTTTTTATTTATATATTTAAGCCTTTTTCATGTAGCATCAAAATCAACTTAATTGCCCAAACAAATTAAAGTTTCTTATTATTTTCATTAAGGACATTATAATAGTACCAAGAGGAATTAATCCTTCATGACATTGAAGGACAAATTAATTATCATTTTGTATATAATTAAATTATATAAAAGCATGATACATAATTTATCATTTTTTCACCCCAAGCTAGCAATAGGCCCTCCAATTATTATGACAGTTATGTGTTGGGTGGGTCATGGAAAATGAAGTTATAATCATGATTCATGAATCATGATCAACAGACCAATAATTATATAAATCTTTTTGGTCAAGATTGATTGGAGACATAAGCATGAAGGGTGTCGGAGGAACCAGATATGTTATATCAATAATTTAGTTTACTATAATTAATCTGCTTTGTTTCTGCAACCAATGCAAATGTGGGACACTTGCATGCACATTATATAAATTCAATTCAAGCTTGATCAATACTATTGAGCCAATTTATTAAAGTTGTTATATCAGGCCCGAGACTAATCTAAATTAAATCAAGTTAACTAGATCATATATGTATAAACATGAATGTAATAGAAAAATCAAAACAAAAGTTTTGCTTAAAAGAGAGATCAAAGTGTTGATGAACCAATATGTATGAATCAACAATATATTTTATGTGATTATTATTGAAAAAAATTACATCCAAAAACTCAATTTGTTAAAAAAAATTGTTAAAAGAACTTGAAATCATAATTATTTTCAGAGATTAAAGTTGCTATTAAACTTTATTAAAGGGTTTTAAATTTTGAATAAAATTACTAAAAAATTACTAAGAACGTAAATTTTCAATTTTTAATAATATTTTTATTAAAAAATAATGGTAGGTCATATTTAAAATTCCCTGGTAACTTCAGTATTTAAAAATAATTAGAATTTAAAGACCTATTAATCCAAATGCTTGAAGATATGGGTCATTTTATATGGTTTTCCCTGTGTTTTATTTTTCAGCATTTGGTAGTTGGTAGGATTTTAGGAAGTTTTAGACGCAAAGCTTATATAGTTTACATTTTAAAATGTGGCAGCATCAAGTGGATCCATATCCATAATTACTACAATTACGAAAAAAAAAGACAGAGAAATTTGTAGCATGATATTATAATTGTGTTTGCCATTATATTATTCCAATTAATTTAATTAGTGGCTGGAATGGTCAATGGACCACTTCCTCATCTACTATATATTTTCCTCGATCCTGTTCTTCCAAAATACTTATAAACTTAAATAATTACTACTCACTACTGCAATTTAGAGCAATTCTTAATTTTTCCCCAATAAATCGATGAAATTAAATAAAACCCCTCTCCTTTTTATATTTAGATAATTATTTATTGGGACTATCTTTCCTCAAAACTTAACAAGTTCAACTTTCTTGCAACAATCTTGTGTCCTAAAACAATTTGTTTTACCCTGTTGTTCACCCAAAATAGACGTACAGAAAATAAATACACCCACAAGCCGTATTATTTATAAATAATTTATAAGTAATGTACAATACACAGTTCATATTTTCCATCAATGTTATAATGCATTTTTTGTGAAGTATCATGTTCAAAAATATTAAGAAAATTGGGTCATTCAAGGTGTAATTAATACGGTTTTCACAAAAAATAAATTTAATTATGAGTGCAATTAATAAAATTCTCTAATCGAGACAACCTATAATAAGGATAAATATAAAAGAATATGTAATTTTAAATACTATTAATTAACTTATTGCAAGACTTAATTTTGTTAAAAGCATCTTATATCATTGAACCGAAGGAGTAGATCCATATCAAGGGCGAATCTAGTTGCCATCAGACTTAATGTTATGCAATAAATGAAAAAGCATATCTAGCTAGTTGCAAAAAAAATCAAGAGTAGAAAATAGATGGACCGGCATGAAAGGAAAACGATACGACGTCGTTGTCTATCATTTTCCTGGAAAATATTTGTTTCTACAAGGCACATGGGATTGGATTACATATACTGTTGAAGTTATCAACATGATGAGATATATCAATCCATTGCAAGATTGAAGGTGGTGGGCTCGTGCTGCCACTGAATTTGCGTGGTGGGGTTTTGCCTTATTTCCCCAATTCGTTGCTCTTTTCTATACCTACAAACATTACTTGCTTATCCCAACACAACTCTTCCACACTGCTTTCATTTCATTTCATCATTTCCCACCCAATAATGGACTATGTCTCACAATTATGCATGATGCTGTAACAAAATACTATAACAGGTCCCATGTGTATGTGTATGATATCATAGTATCAAAAACCAGGTCAATTTGACTGGTTGAATGGCCAAACCGTTGAACCATTCTCTTGATAATTGGTTCAATATGAAATGTCTTCTTCTTCTTGTTTTTTTTTTTTGAATGGCCAGTTCAACTATGGTTTGACTATAATTTTGATAATTAATCCTTGAACCAGTTCTTTTAACTAGTTCAATGACCAATTCATCAGTTTTTAATATATTTTATGATATTCAAGATAAGTCACACTATTCATGGCTTGTGATAGCCTTCCTCATGCTTTTCTGTTTTCTTCATGGAGTATTCGACATGTTACACATCAGGCTAAAAGGATTTAAAAGATTTCAAACTAATCTAGATTGAACTAAGACAAGACTCTTTACGGCGAACAAGTGAAAAAGAGACTTCTTTAATTAAATCAATTATGCAGCACTTCCTTTCTAAATTGATTTTTGAGTAGATATCATTTTAAAGAATATAGAATTAAAATTTATCCTTTTAGATTGGTTATTGAACCGATCTATAGAGCCTTTTTAAAATTTATCAAAATTAATATATTTTTAGAGTTCAAACTTGATATCTCTAATTAAATTGATATAACCCATTTATTAGTTGAACCAAGCGTCAGGCGATCCCATGCTTTAAATATTTTTGAGAGATCAATGATTTTTGCTATTAGGAATGTTCTTAGGCTTGATTGGACTATAATCTCATGAAGTGCTCATTCACAAGATACTGAAACTACAAGGGTGGGGGGATAACGTAACCAAAAATTAAAAATAGAAACGGATAATACAGATCTACCTAGAATCACCTAAAAGTAAAACGTCGTTCTATATATTTTAAAGCCTAAATTAGGTGAATATAAATGATAATTTATATTTCTTTAAGAATAAGAATAATAAATATCTTTCATAGATTTTATACAAGACCCTTGCCCGCATGAACACGGTCAATCACGTGCGTCTGTCAACCTTAATGAAATTTGTCGGTCAAACTCAAACCTTTTTTCTTGCCCAGACCAAGAAGAAGAGAAAGATTTTCCTTTTCATTTTTTTTATCTATAAAAAATTACCCACTCAACTCATCAGTCCTTTGATAATTTTTTTTTAAAAATTTTTTTAAAAAATAATTTCCTTTCAAAAGAAGAAAAAGTCAGACTCTCTCTCTCCGTGTCGTCTATAATAACAAAGTCTTTCACCCAATCCTTTCTCGTCAATCTCTTCTTCTTCTTCTATTTCTTCTCTAAATCTCAGTGTGTTGAATTCCTATGCTCACAACTAAAGCAGATCATGGAGCTTGGCTTGAGCTTAGGAGCTTCAAAGCCTTTCACTTTTACGGAAAAGCCTCCTGAATTAGAATTAGCTAATCTCAACACTACTTTATCGATCGGTCCAATAATCAGCAGCACCAAAAGCTGCGACGATCTTCGTCAACAAGGCGAACAACAAGAAGAAGATCAAGAAGAAACAGAGAAGAAGCAAAATCACAGTACTGTCAAAGAAGATCAACACGTTGCTTCAAAGTATAGTAACGCCTTGCAGCTTCATCTTCTTCCTCACGCCAAACCTCTCCCTCTGTACTCGTGGCCTCCTCCCTCTGATCAGAACTGTAACAACCTGATCTCTTCTTTATATATACTTTCCTTTTCTTTGTTGTGTGAATATATATTTGAGTTATTATTTCTCGCAGGTGATGATGAAGTGGCAGCTAACTCTGGGAGGGGTTTGAAGGTGAAGACGTCGCCGGCGGAGGAGGACGAGTCGGAGGAGAGAACGGTGCTGTCATCGTCTCCGATGAGCGGAGCATCGTCGTTTCAGGTGGATCTGTGTGTATACAGTAATAACAAAGGAGGGAGTAGCATGAGCGGATCAGGAAATTACAGTAATAATTATTGTAACAATAAAAAGAGGCAGATTAATGAATTATCAGAAGGTGAAGGTAATTACTATGATCCAATCCGAGGTTGTTCATCAAGAGCAAGCGATGAAGATGACAACGTTGGAGGTCGTGGTGGTGGTACCAGGAAGAAACTCAGGCTGTCTAAAGAACAGTCTGCTTTTCTCGAAGAAAGCTTCAAAGAACACAGTACTCTTAATCCTGTATGAAATAATCAAACTCATTAATTTTCGTTAATTGCTTGTTTAATTTGATAATCTTCTGACCGTACCAATGATGATTGTTATATATGGTGCGTAGAAACAAAAACTTGCTCTTGCCAAACAGCTCAATCTTCGTCCTCGCCAAGTCGAAGTCTGGTTTCAAAACCGAAGAGCGAGGTACGTACGAATATATTCACATGAGACTTAACATGTTTTACATCTTATTTCAACTGGGAAAAGATGGAAATTGGATGCGAGGCAATTAGAATGGTCCCACTACTATATACTCTACAACCATATTATCTAATGGTTTGAGAAACTTTGAAAGACACATTATACATATTGATTACGAATTATTGAAAACCCACTTCAATTATTTCCCGTTCTAGATAACAGACTCACTTCAATAAACAAGCCTCAGATAATTTCATAGTATTGAAAACCTGGTCAATTCGACTGGTTGAATTAGTGTATCTTCATCGGTTTAATGAAATACTATATTCATGACCAATCTAACATATGGTTTGATAACAGTTTTGATCATTAATCTGTAAATCGATTTCTGTGTATATAGGACGAAGCTGAAGCAGACGGAGGTGGATTGTGAGTACTTGAAGAGATGCTGTGAGACGCTATCAGAAGAGAACAGGAGGTTGCAGAAGGAGCTTCAAGAACTGAGGGCTTTGAAGGCTTCAAACTCAAACCCTTTCTTCATGGAATTACCAGCAACCACCTTGACCATGTGCCCTTCCTGTGAGCGCGTCGCACCCAATCCCACCTCCAATAATAATAATTCTAACAACAACAACAACAGTAATAATTCCCCTTCCAAACCCAAGGCCTTCCCATTCGCCAGACCCAAGTTCTATCCTTTCCCTCACTCCAAACCACACCAGTCTTGAACATATATATCTCATCTCAAACATATTGCTTCGTACAGTTTTAGATCAGGAAACATATATGCATCATGATGACACTGATCACACATATGTATGTATGTATTGCTTCATCATACACAGGTTTAACGTCGATCTATAGATACGAAACAATTTTGTTTTTTTTTTTTTTAATGAAGTGTTCTTGCTGTATCTTTAGTGAATGGTGGTGTTGGGTTTTGATCGTGCTGCGAAATTGGTTTTGTACATATGTGAGGAATGAATTTTTCTGAGACTCATGATGATGATGATAGGTTTTAATTAATTTGCTTTTGTGAATTTGATTATTGGGTTATTATATATGTTCTCTTTTTGTTTTGATTAGTTTTCTGATTATTTGTATCTTATATCTGATTTTTAGTTCTTTTGATAAGAGAGTAAAATTTTAGGTAGATACAATAAGGAAAGAAATTGTCGAGAATAATGACCACTTAATTAGAAAGTTTCTCATGGATGACTGTGAAACGTGGTCCAATGGGTGAGAATATAGTTCATTTTCCATGGAAGCATGGGTTTGAATTCGACTCCACCATGTCAAGTCATAATTTTTTTTCGTAATTTTCAAGTATTTCTATTATTTTTTTTTCTGAAGTCATGTGAGGCCTACCTTAAACTCTAAAATAATCCAATTCATTTAAATTTTTTTCAATAACAAAAAGGAGAAAATTTATCAATTTTTTGTAAGAAAGTATATCTAGGTCTAGGTTTTCTGCGAAAAACAAGTTATATACTATTCCCTTCAATCCAAATTGCAAGATTTTTTTTTTTGAGCTAATATTGGTAAAAAAATATGGGACACTTGGTACTTCGTGAAATTATTTTTTTAAATTTACCCTTGTATTAATTAAAATGGGCATGGAAAAATAACCTGACTAAACACCTTTTCTCACCCTTCAAAATAAAGGGATTAAGGGTAAAAAGAAAGAAGACTTGTTATATTTTTCAAAGGAAATATAATAACTACTTTTTTTATTGCCCGTGTCCTTCTATTAGAACAATTCTATTCGACACACACGGTCAAGCACTAGATATAAATACCCCTCCTAATAATTTAAACTTTAATTTATCATGTTGTAAAAAAATCAACCCCTTCCACCAAACTCAATCTCCCATATATTGGAAATATGGTTTAGTGCCTTATATTTATTTGTATGTAAAATATGGTTTGGAAGTGCCTTATATTTTCGATCAGAGGGAGTACTACTATCAAATTTAAAATATATATATATATATATATATATTTAGCTTTCACTTTGATATCCTAGATCTTTAACCTAACCTAATCCAACAGGTAGCTTGTGGGCGCCTCTTTGAAGGCATACTCTCCACTAAGAATTTAATCGCTGCCCCATATCTAGGGTTTGAACTTGAGATTTGTGATTATACTAAATCAACCTCCTAACTAATTGATCCAAGTAGTGGTTGGCTCAAATTTGAACTATTGTGAGTGAGTAATGATTAATGATAATTATGAAAGTATTGGTGAAAAGAATTGTGTGGATAGTCTTAAGTCAACAAGAAGAAGAGGAAGGCCGTGGTTCAAGGGATACTTTTCATAAAGCCAAGGGATGGAACACTTTAAATTTATGAATTTGCTACTTTTCAATGATTTCATTCTCAAACACTTTAATCACAGCGGACACAAAACACAACCGACAATCATTTTAATCATGGGACACACTTTCTTATAACAAGATAATTAAACTAACTATACATGCTAATTAAACTATATGCTATATTCTTATTGAATTAATTTACCTTTATTTATATTTATATACACCAATAATTAATCATCAAAACTGGATCTAGTGGTTCATTTGTTTAGTTATACAACGTACAAAATGAATTTTTTTTATATAGCTATTTAATTGGGTTAAATTCATTAGAGGCCAAATTGAAGGTAAATCATTTTAAAAGTATTTTTTGCATTCACATGTATGGACTCAAACTCAAGAGTTTATGTTTAAACGGTCATAGTCCCTTCCATTAAGACCAACACCTATTGCTAGAATTAATAAAGATATTAATATGTATAAAATATATTTATTTATTTTTATATTTATTCTTTTATATAATAAAAAATGATCATATATATAGAAAATTCAAACTACACCTAGATGTCCTTTTGCTCCTTGTCAGTGAGAGACACCAAAAGGGACAGAAAAGCCATAATAGATAAACATGTCTCCTAAAGTGGCCTTTTCCTTTTACAACCCCAATTTTGAGTATTCACGAGAGGCAACTAATTATATACACTTTCCATGCTAGTTAATTATTTAATTATATAATTTAATTAGCTTTTTAATTTATTCATTTATTTTTTTTTTGAATAATACTCGATCGTGATCTCCCAAGACAACCTTATATTTTTAATAATATCATTAATTTTAATTTGATCTGTATAGATAGATAAATTTGGAAGCAACTTAAAGTTATATATATACACAAGCATGAAAGCAAGAGTTTTATAAACAAATAACTTCATGAATAAATTATGTATTAGTTAATCATACCTTTAAGTATAAAGATGATATGATGGTGATGTCAGCTCAAAGCTCTATAGTTTCTCTTTCCTCTCATTGTTATATGTTTGAGTATTAATGTGATCAGAAAATTTACATATTTAGCCTTATATACGTTTAAGGTACTTGTTTTAATTTCAATTATCAAGGCATATAGATCTTTTATAGATAAGATATTAACAATTCTTTTTATTAATGTTATTAAAACATTAAAATCTACATGTCTTAATTATTAATTAGATAAAAATATATTAAGTATACAAGACTAAATACATAAATCTTACCCTATATTATGATGTGTGTTACTAATTTAATAAAATGATTAGCCAGAAAAATGATTAATAATGTGATATCAATCCAACATATATACATGACTCCAATGATTTTATTATATTGATATTATGTTCATGTCATCTCAGTAAATTCAGGTTCTGAATAAACATATCCTATGAATGTGCGATATGATGAATAAATATTTTATATATATTTATCATCAATGCATTGTTAAAAAAATAATACTATTATAAGAAAACATTTTTTATGATCCTGTTAGCAACATAACTGCGTGTTTCCAAGTTTTTTTATCATTATACTTCTTCAATTATATCTTGGCCAAAAAAAAAAAATCAATTCTATGACAGAACCCTAGTCAGATCAAATGGTAGATCACTTTCAATATTTGCTTTATCATTTTTTTATTGGAGCAGGAAACTTCTTGAATGTGGAATCATTCTAAATCAATATATATATATATATATATATATATATATAATATCCATAAATGATTATATAGATATAAAAATAAAAATAAAGTTGTACTTTTTATGAATAATTTATAATGCAACTTATTTCTCAAATTTTATACAATATTCTGCAATTAAAAAACTTCATATATTGCATTAAACAGATCTTTTCTTTGTTGGTATTTTTTTAACTTTCTTTTGTGATATTCATTCTCTTGTTTTTCCAATTGTTGTATACCTAGTAAAGCAAGCATTCAAATATATATATATATATATATATATATATTAACACACACACATAGACACACAAACAGCAATCATATCGAGATGCATGTGGCAGTACAAAATAATTTTTTTAGATCATTAAAATGGTGAGTAGATTATTAAATATAATGTAACACAGTGGTTGTCATTAGTTGCTTCTATTAGTAAAACACCATAATAATTTATGTCCACACAAACACAACTAAGAGAAGAAGAAAAGGCAAACAAGTACTTTCTCTTTTACTTTTCAAAACTAATTGATTGAGTTTTGTCAAATATATTGATAGTTTAATGGAAACCGAAAGAGAAAGTAAAATTGAATATGTATAATAGAAAGCAAAGAAAGAGAAAAGACATGAACGAACGAATGAATGAATCAATGGATGATTTTGAATGATTAAAGGAAGCACAAAAGAACTAATAGTAGCATGTCTAGGAAACGAATTCGATCGATATCATTCGAATAAGGTCATCAATTTAATTTTGTAAGTAGAAAATAACAATTTTCAAAAATAATATTACATATCATATAATTTTACAACATATAAAGTCCATGCTTTTGCAATTAGGGCTAATCTCACTTTTGAGCTTCAAACAATGAAACATACTGCCCCTGCTATAGCCAGGTTAAACTCTATTGTCTATTTTCAAAGAAATCACAGGTGAAGCTAAGTTCCAATACTACTTATTAGAAATTAAAAACAACTATCCTAAAACAAGCTGGGGAGACAATAAATGGACAAAAATAATGGAAGAAAATCAAATTTTCATTACTCAAAATTCAAATTTCTAGTCCTTTCACTCTGTCATATACTACTTATATATATTTAAACGACCACTTTCATATGAGTCCACTTGCTTATTTTTTAACAACCTAACATATTCGCATATATAAGGAAGGATAAGAGGGAGGGAATAAGGAAAGTTGATAAATCATGCAAGGATATAAGAAGGGCATGCATCGGATCTGAAAGGTGATTTCGGTACAAACGCACCATGCAAAAGCAAGACTTGTTAGTAATGATTAAAATATAGAACCGACCATGGACCCATGAGTCTGGATCCACCACTTTCTTCTCATTAATTAATTGCCAACCATCCATCTTAACCTTAAAAGAAAAAAAAAATCAAATTCATGACGTGACCTGATCATCAAAATTGAAAGTTCAACTGCTATATTATTTGTATGTCACCCAATGATTTGTGGTTCGTTTTTGTGTCTTATGTCACCCATCATTTCGTAACCCTCATTTCTTTATTGTCAAATTGTTATTTTTCACTACACTCAGCTTATTCATGTATAATAATTAATAAGTAGCGTATGTTACTTGACTACATTTATAAATTGCACTAAACTCTTTAAGATGTTATATTTGAAAATAAAATGTCGAGTTCTTTAGTACTAGAAAATTATAATACGTTGCATATCTGAATCATTTAGTTTCCTTGTATTGTAACACTATATAACTTCATAAGAATATACCTAAGTACTTATTATTAGAAAAAATTATCTAAAGACTCTGATCATATTTCTCTTGTCCTTTAGTGAAAAATTCAATGACGTACTAATCTGAAACATAAATACTAGTAAGCATCAAGGTTGATATACTTGATAGCCTTGATCGACCACATCCAGTGGCAGTACGGATGTCAATATGTACTGTACT